CTCCCGCATGACTGCTGCCACTCACGCCTTAACACACACAGCCACACGCACAATCACCCAGACACCTTTCACATAGACACACACACGTGACTAAACACACACCCGACCATACACACCTGACACACACACACTCGACCACTGTGCACACCTGCCTGGACGCTCAATCACCTGCCGCCGGCCAGCTGCACACACCTGCCTGCGCACAGCCCTTCCGGGTGCCCAGGTGCCTGCACACAGCCCCGTGCCCAGTCCCTACCTCTGGGTACCTCTCTCCGCACCCCGGCTCCGTCACACGTGCGGCTCTCTCACACACACACAGCTGCCTGCACACACACGGCCGCACCGTGCCCCCATCCCCCAGCTGCTTCTCCTCGGTGCCCTGTGGGTGCTCCTGTGAGGGCGGGAGCTGCTTGTGTGTCCGGAGCCCCTGAGGACCACGCCCCGAGGCGTCGGCAGCAGCTGCCAGGAAAGGGCGGGTGGCCGCAGCTGTGCCTCACGGGCGCTATTTCCGTCCTCAGATTAGGCCTGCAAAGCCCCCCCCCCCCCCCCCCCCCCCCCCCCCCCCCCCCCCCCCCCCCCCCCCCCCCCCGCGTCTGTCCGCGTGGGTTTCTCTTGGCGGTCCGCGCCAGTTGCCAGCCCAGCCTGTCTGTGTGTGCACCTGTGTGTGTGTGTGTGTTTGTGTCTTTGCGTGTCTCTGTGTGTCTGTGCCTGTGTGTGTGTTGTGTGTCTGCAGGTCTGTACCTGTGTGTCTGTGTGTGTGGCCGCCTGTCTCTGCACACACATGTGTCTGGGTGTCTGCTGCTTTGTGTGTGTGTGTGTGTGTGTGTGTGTGTGTATGTGAACATTTCTCTGTTTATGTGTTTCTGGTATGTGTCTTCTGCCTGGATGTGGATGTTTCCATGGGTCTGTGTGTCTGCGCATGTGTGGATGTGTCTCTGTGTGTCTGTGTGTTCCCCGACTGGACGGGGTTTGCTGTTGGAGGGCGTGGGGTGGGGTCACCCCGGTGACCTGCAGCACAGACCGTGGCCTCTGTGCTCAGAGCTGCGTGTCCACGGAGGGACGTTGGCCTCAGCCTGGTGTCTACTGAGGGATGTTGGCCCCGGCCTGGGGTCCATTGAGCAGTCTTGGCCCCGGCCCTGGTGTCCACAGAGGGATGTTGGCCCCTGGTGTCAGGAGCGCCCTTGCAGCCTCTCGTGCCCACCCCTGGGATCCCGGCTCTTGCCCAGTGCGTCCCACCCGCACCCGCAGATCCTCCCTCTCACGTGGCCTCCCGTCCATCTTTGACGTCCATCTGAGCTGCTGCTGTTTGTGGTGGTGGCGACCCTGTCCTCATGGACGCTGCCCGCCTCAGGTGTGCTGGCCCTGCCCGGCATGTGCCCGCCTCAGGTGTGCAGCTCCAACTGGTGTCCTGGAAGTGCCGTTTCTGCCCGTGCTGCGGACATGCCGCCGTCTGCCGTCTGTCTGGGGTCCTCCCCCCGTGTGCGTGTGTGCGTGCCTGTGTGTGTGCCCGCCGCGGTCTTCTCAGCCTGCCTGGCAGTCCCAAGTGTCCCCGTGACGGTCCCTCCCGGCTCCTGTCTTGTCATGGGACCGTGCAGAGAGGCGCCTGTGCTGGGTCCTCCGCCCTTCTCCATCCCCACTGGCCTCTGCCCGCTCACCTGCCCTCACTGCCCACCTGTCCCTGCCCTTGGGTGCCGCCTGGCCCCCCTCCCTCCCCCCCTGCCTCCACCCTCAGACCGTCCCTCCGCTCCCCTCCCCCGCGTCAGAGGAGGACTGGCCGTCCCGCTCACAGGCCTCCCGTGTCTCCGCCCAGGTGCAGCTCAGGAGGGAGGAGCCCCTGCCGCCGGGCCCCAGCCGGGACATCCCCACCTTCTACTTCCCCAGAGGCCGCCCGCAGGACACCGTCAACGTGGACGCCGTCATCGCCCACATCGAGAGGACCTTCGCCGACTTCCCGCAGGAGAGGGCCACCATGGACGACATGGGCCGCGTGGCCAAGGTGGGCATGGGTGGGGAAGGCCCGCCGTTCGAGCACGGCAGCAGTTGCCAGCGGGCAGTGCCCCGGCACGGGTCACAGTGCGGCCTCGGCCAGCGGGACCCCAGGGGCCAGTGGGACCTCAGGGCTCACTGTGGCCTCAGGAGCCAGTAGGACCCAAGAGGCCGGTGGGGCCCCAGGGGTCAGTATGACCTCAGGGTTAAGTGTGACCCCAGGAGCAAATGGGACCTCAGGGTTAAGTGGGACCCCAGGGGCCAGTGTGACCTCAGTGTTGTTAAGTGTGACCTGAGCAGCCAGTGGGGCCTCAGGGTTAAGTGGGACCCCAGGGGCCACTGGGACCTCCGGATTCAGTGGGACCCCAGGGGCCAGTGTCCGAGGAGGCGTCCCAGTGGGTCGTCCTGCGGTGTGACCCTGGCAGAGTGACCAGCCACTGCTTGATGGCCGATGTGTCAGGTTGGACTTGGGGGGGGGGGCTGCGTTTGGTGTTGGTGCCTATGTAGGGCTTGGTGGGGCTGGAGTCGGGTTCCTCAGAGGCGTCGTCTTCAGGGGACGCCTCCTGCCCGCCCAGGTGGTTCCCCATGATTCCCTCAGCTGGGGGCTGCACCTGGTGATGTCCGGGCTGGTGGGCTCTGCCCAGGGACTCTCCTGACTGTGTGGGAGCCCAACCCTGGGAGCCACGTCACAGCAGGGGCCTCAGCTCGTGCCCCCTGCCGCCCAGGCCTCTGTTTCCCGCTGTGGGACCACGGGCATCTCTGTGCTGGTCTGGCAGGGAGCGGTGGGTGCTGGTCGTGGGTGTGTGGGTGGTCTGTGCCCTGGGCGCCTGAGTCCCTGGGCCGTGGCGGTTCCCAGCTGTCTCCTGGATGTTGCTGCCCCGTCTCGCCACAGTCTCCCGACAGTCTGTCCACAGCCCCCCACAGTCTCCCACCATGTCCCCATCTCCCTACACTTTCCCCACCCCCTATAACCCCCCCCATACCTTGTTCCTGATGGGGGGAGCCTCAGGGTCTGTGTGACAGTCCCCCTCCTCATATTCCCGCAGCTGCGCTAGGCCCCTGTGTGTCACCTCCGCAGCACACGGTGCTCGCCTGGCTCCCATGGGCTCCTCGGCTCTGCGGTGTGTGACCACCTGTCCTTCGTCACGGCCCATGGCTGCGTGTTTGGGCCGGGGCCATCGTTCCGCCCTCAGGTCTCACAGTGACCAGCAGCCTTCCTGCCCGTGCGTCTGCTGGGATTCAGGCGAGGGTCAGCAGGAGTCGTGCGGCCAGGGCAGGGTGGGCAGACAGGCTGCAGGAGAGACGTGCCAAGGGCGGGGGGTCCTCGGGCGTCCCCTTCCTGGGGACCTGCTGTGCGGACAGTGGGTTCCTGCCGTCATTTCCGCCTTCTCTCTGCTGAGGAACTGGTTGTCAGAACTGAGGTTTCTGGAACCTTCTGCCTGATTGTTTCTGCTCCCTGGACAGTCCAACCGCCTGGCGTTGGTGGTCTGTGCAGCCGTTGACCCACGCACATGGCCCGTTGGCCGTGGTGGTCCCGACTCTCACCCAGGGCCACGCTGCTACTCAGCATTTGGGTCTAGCCGGGGGCACCGGGAGCACTGGGAGCACCGGGAGCCCCGGGAGCCGGCTGGGAGACCTTTGCTGAGGGGCCGGGAGCTGAAGGTCTTTCCTTGCGGACCCCTGCTTCCTGTGCTCCTCGCTGGAGTGCTCTCCTGGGACTGCTCGGGGTGGACGGCCGGTGGGTGACACCCACACCCCGTGCCCATGGGAGCAGCCGCAGCTCGCCTGGGTCCCGACGGCGACTTGGGACTGAGGGGGCGTCTCCTGGGAGTGGGCTTCCGCGCTCCGCCCCCTCAGCCTCCCTGGGGGCCTGTGGTCACCCTGCTGCGTGCTGCTGAGCCGCGGACCCCAGCCCCTCAGCCCCTGGCTCGGTAGGCCACGCAGGGGCCCGATGAGGAAAGGGCACTCCCCTGCCTACCGCTGCCCCGGGAGGTCGTGGTGGGGGTGGTCGTGCGTGCGTGCGTGCGTGTGTGAGTGGCCAGGGCTGAGCCTGTCACTGCCCGTCTGCAGGCCTGCGGCTGCCCGCTCTACTGGAAGGGGCCGCTCTTCTACGGCGCCGGGGGAGAGCGCACGAGCTCCGTCTCCGTGCACAAGTTCATCGCCATGTGGAGAAAGTGAGTCCCCGCTGGGCTGCGGGCACGGGGCACAGGTGGGTGGGCGGCTCCTCCCTCCCCACCTGCAGGACGGAAGTAGGGGCAGCCTCAGGGGTGGCCCCTACCCAGGACTCTGTACCCTCAGGTCACTGTGATGTCCACCACTCAGTGCCTGGACTGACATGGTGTGCAGTGTGTGTGTGTGTGTGTGTGTGTGTATGTGCAAGTGTATGGGGCCATGGGACCCTGTCCTGTCAGGACCCTGACTGGCACGCACACAGCTGGAGTGTGTGTGTGTGTGTGTGTGTGTGTGTGTGTGTACACGCATGGGGCCGTGGGACCCTCTTCTGTCAGGACCCTGAATGGCAGGCACAAAACTGGTGTGTGTGTGTGTGTGTGTGTGTGTGTGTGCAAGTGTATGGGGCCATGTGACCCTGTCCTGTCAGGACCAGACTGGCAGGCACCGAACTGGTGTGTGTGTGTGTGTGTGTGTGTGTGCGTGTGTGTGCGTGTGTGTGTGTATACACACATGGGGCCATGGGACCCTGTCCTGTCAGGACCAGACTGGCAGGCACAGAGCTGGTGTGTGTGTGTGTGTGTGTGTGTGTGTGTGTGTGTGTGTGCAAGTGTATGGGGCCATGTGACCCTGTCCTGTCAGGACCAGACTGGCAGGCACAGAGCTGGTGTGTGTGTGTGTGTGTGTGTGCATGTGTACACACACTGGGCCATGTGACCCTGTCCTGTCAGGACCAGACTGGCAGGCACCGAACTGGTGTGTGTGTGTGTGCGTGTGTGTGCGTGTGTGTGTGTGTGTATGCACACACAGGGCCATGGGACCCTGTCCTGTCAGGACCAGACTGGCAGGCACAGAGCTGGTGTGTGTGTGTGTGTGCGTGTGTGTGTGTGTGTATGTGTGTGCGTGTGTACACACACTGGGCCATGGAACCCCGTCCTGTCAGGACCCTGACTGGCAGGCGCCCAGCTGGCCACGTCTCTCTATGCCCCTGAGGACAGCCCCTGTCTCTCCGCGCGGGGTCCTGCTGAGCTGCCACGACGATGCCGCCAAGTTTGCGTACCTGCTCATGAACCCTGGCTGCAACTACCTGGTCCAGGAGGATTTTGTCCCCTTCCTTCAGGTACGGCGCGCGGGTCCCCGTGCCCCTGGCACGGCCAGGGACGGGAGCCCCCTCCTTGGTGCGCACAAGCACCCCCGGCGGCAGGGCCTGTGTCCCGGGGCGCGTGGCACACACGACCTGCGTGCCTCTCCTGCAGGGCTGGGAGTCCACACCGCACGTGACACAGAGCCGGCCCCCGGCCCACGTGCATGCCGCCCCCCCCCCCCCCCCCCCGCAGACCTTGGTGTCTGCACCGCACGCGGGACCGTAGGTACTTGTGGCTCTGCACTGCACACCCCACCTCCTTCCTCCCGTGTATGCTGTCTGCGCCACACGTGCCTTGCGCCCGGCCTGTGTGTCTGTGTGCTGCCATGCCGACGGCGCACAGCTGTGTCCATCTCCCCTGCATTCACTGGTGCACACACACACATCACACTCGGGCCACTTTTGCACACTGCATCAGCACCATGCCATGGGAGGGTCTCATCCTCAGTGTAGTGTGTGTGTGTGTGTGTGTGTGTGTGTGTGTGAGTGTGTGTGTCTAGTCTGCACTGCACATGCTCACTCGTTCTCTGGGGGTGTCCTCAAGTCTCTCCCACCGTGTGCGTTCTCCCTTTTTCACTGAAGAAAGATGCTCCGTGTAATCAGAACTGTGATGTGCGAGGCCATCAATCGAGTCGCAGGCCTCTAAAGTCTTCCCCCCAGCCCCACCACAGCATCCCCTCCCCGCACAGTGTCCCTCTGCGCCCGCCCCTCCCCCCTCCCCTCGGCAGGCACATCCCAACGCTGGACAGCGGCCGCCTGGACGTCCTCCTGCCCATGCGGGGTCTGTGCTTTGGGCCCGTGGCGACACCGCTCTCCTAGTCCGCGGGGCCTGCTCCCTCGTGGGGCACCGTGCTCTTCTGCCCGCTGCCCTTCCTCCTCCCCCTTTCCCCAAGCCCTCCCCCCGATTCTTCCGTCTGTCCTGTGAGCGTGTGCGCATGGGTTGTGCGTCTCTCTGGATGCCTGCACCACTTCTTGCTGACACACTTTGGCCTGTCCACACGGCTCTGCTCACCCTTGTGACGGGTTTGTTCTCACACACGCCCTTCCAGTGGGGAGGTCCTTGTCCACGCCACATGCTCAGGCTCTGAGAATGGGCGAGTCTGGTCCACACACAGGAGTTTTCTGCCTGCACCTGACGTAGGCTAGAGTTCGGTGGGCACCCCAGGGGCTGCGTCCCTCACAGAGCTGATCGCTGACCAGTCGGAGCTGGTGGCGGACAATTATCCTCAAGAGAGGTGGTCACAGGAAACGGGTTGCTGAGATGGGACCATGGCTGTCGGCTGGGAAGTAGAGTCGGAGAGGCCTCAGGAGACGTCCAGAGCCCTCCAGCAAGCAGGCACACGCCTCCAAAAGACACCTTCAGAGCCCTCACGAGACACCCCAGAGGCCTCACACACATACACCCAGAGCCCTCACACACACAAGCCCAGAGCCCTCACACACATGCCCAGAGCCCTCACACACACACACCCAGAACCCTCAAACACACACACAGAGCCCTCACATGCCCAGACCCCTCGTTAGACACATCAGAGCCTTCAAGCAGATATCCAGAGAACTCATGCAGACACAGAACCCTCATAATCGCACTCATGCAGACTGTGCTGAGTGTGTGTTTGTCTGTGTGTGTACGTGCGTGTGTGTCCACCATCCTGCTGATGGAGAGCTGCCCTGACGGCTGCTCTGTGAGACGCGCCTTCTGGTGTGTGAGCATGTGACTCAGTGGCCCTCGTGTGGTCCTGTGTGCAGTAGGGTCTGGGCTGTGTGTGAGTGAGTGCTCCCTGCGGAACCCACGGGAGCAGTGTCGTGGCCGGGGCCCGCTCCCTCCCCGACGGTCACCCGGCTCGGACGTCACCATCACGTTGTCTCTGTGCAGGACGTGGTGAACTCCCATCCCGGCTTGTCCTTCCTGAAGGAGGCATCCGAGTTCCACTCGCGCTACATCACCACCGTGAGTTCCCAGCGTCGGCCCCCCGATGAGTCCCGCGGGCCTGGACCAGGTAGGACACCCGGGTGGCGCCAGGCCAGGCCCAGGCCTGTGCCCCTGTGACGCCATGCCAAGTCCTTGTATGCACTCTAGGGGGTGAGGAGGGCCCCCGAGGGACGAGGCCCCGTGCTGTGCCCCGTGTCCACCGTCAGCATGCGCATGGGGGCAGGAGCTGTGTGCCCGTGGCGCGTGGCTCTGCCTGACCCTCCCCCCACCCCCTTTCCTGCTGGGTGTTGCCCAGCCGGGACTGACTGAGGGCAAGTCCCAGCTGCCAGGACTCAGCTCCGGGATGTCCCCACCGCTGCCCGCTGGGGAGATGCCACACATGTCGCCGGGCAGCCAGCTGGCGCACGCAGACTGGGTGTCCCTGTCCAGCCTCGGGACAGAACACCACACACTCACACACACAGACACATATGCATAGACGGAGACAGACACACACAGACGCATAGACACATAGGACACACACACACACACACACACACACACAGGCTGGGTGCCACTGTCTCAGCCTTAGTGCAGAACACCACACACAAGACACACAGAGACACACAGGACACACTCACACACTCACAGACACAGAGACACATAGATACAGACACACACACACACAGACACACAGACTGGGTGCCACTGCCTTAGCCCCAGTGCATAACACCACACACGCACACACACACAGATGGAGATAGACACATAGTGACACATAGACACACAGGACACACACACACACAGGAAACACACACACATAGACACACAGGACACATGCACACACAGACAGACACGTAGATGCAGACATGTACACAGTCATGAAATGTACACAGATACACAGAACACACATGCACATACTCGTACAGACACAGAGATGTGTAGATACAGACACAAACACAGAAACACACAGGACACACACAAAGAAACAGAGACAGATACAGACACACAGAGAAACACACACACACACACACACACACGATGCTGCCCATCCTTCCCCGAGCCCCATGCCACAGGCGCCCTCTGCTGGCCACACAGGCCCTTGCACCTCGGGCCCTGCTCCCGCAGAACCTGGGAGGGCACGTCTGGGTCCCCCACCCCGATCGGTCGTGAGAAGGCCCCGTGGGCCCTGCTCTGTGGGCTCAGTCGGCCTCCTCGCCCCGCAGGTGATCCAGTGGATCTTCTATACCGTGAACAGGTCCTGGACGGGCAGGATCACCTGCGCAGAGCTGCGCAGGAGCACCTTCCTGCAGGTGAGGCCGCGGGGGTCAGGGTGGGACACACACACACACACACACACACACACACACACACACACACACACACGGGGCTCGGGGCACCTTCCTGCAGGTGAGGCCGCGGGGTCGGGGTGGGGTGCGCGCACATGCACACACACACACACACACACACACACACAGGGGGCTCAGGGCACCTTCCTGCAGGTGAGGCCGCAGGGGTTGGGGCGGGGCATACACACACACACACACACACACACACACATACATGCATGCATGCATCCCTGTGCGCCCCCCCCCCCCACACACACATACACACACATGCTCTCATATTCCCGTGCCCACCCCTGTCCTCACGCATCCCCGCTGGCTTCTGCCCTGCGCACACGTGTCCGTCCCCGTGTGGTCAGAACGTGGCGCTGCTGGAGGAGGAGCCGGACATCAACCAGCTGACGAAGTTCTTCTCCTACGAGCACTTCTACGTCATCTACTGCAAGTTCTGGGAGCTGGACACGGACCACGACCTGCTCATCGACGCCGACGACCTGGCCCGGCACAACGACCACAGTACGCCTGGACCAGGCTGTCGGGGGGAGGGTCTGGGGGGGACGTCGCTGCGTGTCCGTGGCTCAGTCTGGGGGAGGCTGTGGGTGTCTGTGGGTCAGTCTGGACGGGGTGTGAGTGTGTGTCCGTGGGTCACTCTGGAGAGGGTGTGAGTGTATGTCCATGGGTCAGTCTGGACAAGTATGAGTGTGTGTCTGTGGGTCAGTCTGGGAGAGGCTGTGGGTGTGTGTCCGTGGGTCACTCTGGAGAGGGTTTGAGTGTGTCTGTGGGTCAGACTGGGAGAGGGTGTGAGTGTGTGTCCGTGGGTCAGTCTAGGAGAGCATGTGAGTGTGTGCCCGTAGGTCCTGTGCTGGCCCTCTGTGTGTCCCAGCCACCTGCCCTCCCTGCACTCTTGCCGTCACTGTGCTACCCCAAAGTTTCCACCCCGTCTCCCGGGAGACCTTTGGCTGTGGGGCACACGGAGACCAGGAGGCACGTGAACTCTCGGGACACACAGTCCTCCAGGAGGCACAGTGCGCGTCTGTGCATGTCTGCGCACGCAGGTTCCCAGGCAGAGGCCACGCTCCCGGTCGGCTCCCATCCCCCTTCCCCGCTGTGTGCCCCTCGGGTGCTGCTGTTGGCAGCTGTGGTCGGGCTCCCGGCTCCCGGTGTGGGCAGTCGCCCCAGTGGGGTTACAGTGTCTTCCTCCGTGCTCTCGAGCGACCAGTGCTGGCCTGTCCTGAGTGTCCTGAGGGAGCATGTCGGACCCCCGCCAGGCTTCTCTCTCGTGACCGAGCCACGGCCCCCAGTCTGTCCCCAGGGAGCCCTGGCGCGACTCTCACTGGGGCTCCCGGGACTCTCTCCCCGCAGCCATCTCCACCAGGATGATCGAGAGGATCTTCTCGGGGGCCGTGACGCGGTACGTCTCCCCGCGTGCGTTCCCGTGTGCGCAGGGCCCGTCTCCCCAAAACGGCCCCGGCGGGTCGTGCTGGGGCCCCGCGGCCCGTGTCCCACAGGGGTGAAGTGAGGGGACAGGCTGGCTCGTGGCATCCCTGCCTGTGGGCCTGTGTCAGGCAGGCCGGAGCGCCTGCGTCTCACAGGCCGTGGCCCTGCCTGTGCCCAGGGATCCCCATGCTGCGGCAGCACGAGGCCTGGACCCTGATGCCCCCCACAGGCCGTCCCGGACCCCCTGCGGACACAGGGCCCTCCGGGGGCCGGGCTTCTCGGGGCAGCCTCCTTCCGGGCAGGTGGGCAGGACCAGACCCCCAGTGGTGGTGCCTGACCTGGTCCTCGTGTCCTTCCGCCGGACGCCAGGGGCAAGAAGGTGCAGAAGGAAGGGAAGATCAGCTATGCCGACTTTATGTGGTTCCTGATCTCCGAGGAGGACAAGAAGACCCCCACCAGGTAGGTGTGGGTGCAGTGGTGCTCCAGCCGGCCCTGCCCACAACTCAGCCCCGGGCCCAGCCTGCCAGCCTGGGTGGTTCCTTCCAGCCAGGCCCTGCCCTGCCAGTGTCTAGGCAGCTGGCCCCCTCCCCGCCGGGTGTAGAACGAATGTGCCCGGATCTGTCCGTGGAGTGCTCTCTCCTGGGGGGGGGGAGAGGGGGGGGGTGTCCAGGGGTGGTCTTTCCAGGAGGGTCCGTCTGCAGGAGTCTGTCCATGGAGGGCCCGTCCAAAGGAGGTCGGTCTGTGGAGGGCCCGTCCGTGGGGGCGCTGTCCACGGAGGGTGGGGGCGCATGTCGCAGCATCGAGTACTGGTTCTGCTGCATGGACTTGGACGAGGACGGTGCCCTGACCATGTTCGAGCTGGAGCACTTCTATGAGAAGCAGTGCCGCCGGCTGGACAGCATGGCCATCAAGGCCCTGCCCTTTGAGGACTGCCTCTGCCAGATGCTGGACCTGGTGAAGCCGCAGACCGAAGTTAGCCCCACCGCCCCATGGTGCACGGCTCGGCTGGGGGGGCGGGGCGCGGGTTCCTGTGGGCCACACTCTGAGCTGCTGGCCCAGACCCCCAGGGGGGGCAGGGTCCCGTGGGCCGTGCGAGCCCCAGGGCTGGGTCCTTGGACCTCTCAGTGCAGCCAGCTTCAGGCTGCCCCTCCCTGTGGGTTGGCGCCCGCCTGGAGCCCAGAGCCCTCGGTGCCCGCCTGGCAGCTGTGTCCGCAGGGGCAGCCCCTCGCCGCGTGCTGACGGGACCCCCACCGTGCCCAGCTTTGGTTGTCTGCGCCCACCTCGGGAGCTGACGGCGAGGGCCCCCGCCCACAGGGAAGATCACCCTGCGCAACCTGAAGAGGTGCAAGCTCGCCTGCGTCTTCTTTGAAACCTTCAAAAACTTCAACATCGAGAAGTACCTGGACCACGAGCAGAAAGAAGATCTCGCTGCTCCGGGTGTGTGTCTGTGTGTGTTTGTGTGTGTGTGTGTGTCTGTGTGTGTGTTTGAGGGGGGGAGGGGGAGCTCAGGGTGTGTGTGTGTGTGTGTGTGTCTGTGTGTGTGTTTGAGGGGGGGAGGGGGAGCTCAGGGTGTGTGTGTGTGTGTGTGTGTGTCTGTGTGTGTGTTTGAGGGGGGAGGGGGAGCTCAGGGTATGTGTGTGTGTGTGTGTGTGTCAGTTTGTCTGTGTGTTAGTGTGGAGGAGCTCGGTGTGTGTGTGTGTGTGTGTGCGAGGGGGCCATGTTGGAGCTCAGGCTGTGTGGGGAGAGGATCGGGGCCCAGGTGGGTGCAGGGAGAGTTGTGTGTGGCTGTGGGGGCAGCGAGTGGGGTGGCTGCGTGTGCCTGCGGTGGCTGTCCTGTGTGGCTTGTGTCGTACCCGTGCGTGTCTCAGTGTATCACGGTACAACGTGGTGCCTGTGGGGCCGTGTGTGCTGGCGTGTATCCGTGTGCCTCGGTGCTGGTGGGCCTGTGTCGGGGGACGGGACCGCCTGACCCGGTGGCCGCGTGGTCTCGTGTAGGACAGCGACAGCGAAGGCCCCGAGCTCTCGGACTGGGAGAAGTACGCTGCCGAGGAGTATGACATCCTGGTGGCCGAGGAGGCTGCAGGGGAGACCTGGGATGACGGGTAAGTGGGCGGGTGGGGGGCAGGCGCGGGGCGGGCACAGCCTTCCCTGCCTCCTCAGCGTGCCCAGAGGATCCCACTCACCCTCAGTGCATTTGGGCGGCAGGCATGGCCGGACGGTGGGGAGACGCTCAGGGCCACAGCGGGCTGGGCTGGGGCTCCGCCCGGCGCAGCTCCCAGACTGCACGGGACCCCCCAGGGTGCAGAGACAGGCAGGCTTGGTCTCCGCCATGGGTCTGTGCCTCCACCCCACCCTACAGCACCGGGCACCGCCCCACACATACACTGTCCACGGCAGATGCACGGCCGCCCCTGCAGCCAAGGCCCTGTGTCCGCAGGCCCCGTCTCCCTCAAGCCTGTATCCCTAGGTCCTATATCCGTAGGTCTGGGTCCCTAGATCCCATGTCCACAGGGCCTGTATCTGCAGACCCCGTCTCTGTAGATTCCGTGTTCATAGATCCCGTGTCTGTAGACCCCCTGTCCACAGGCCCCGTGTCCACAGGCCCCGTCCGTATCCGTAGTTACAGTGTTTGTAGATTCCATGTCTGTAGATCCCGTGTCCACAGGCTCTGTCTAGGCCGCAGTGTCCGTGGTCCTGTGCAGTTCCTCTGCACGGGACCCACACCTGCCCCCGCCATGACCCCCTGAGCCCACGCGCGGGGACCCTGCCCACGCCCGTCCCCATGCGCCCCCAGGTATGAGGCGGAGCTGAGCCCTGTGGAGCAGAAGCTGAGCTCGCTGCGTCCAGCCCTGGCCCAGAGACCCTTCTTTGAGTCCCTGAGCCCACTGGGGGATGTCGAGCTGTACGAGTACGAGAGCGAGGACGAGGAGGAACAGGAAGAGGAGGACCTGCAGCTGTCCTGAGCTCTGGCCAGCGTCTCCTCCACGCGCGTGCACTGTGACGCAGGGCGGCTGGCGTGGGGCTGCTTGTCTGCGACGGGGGAGGTTCGCCCAGCGTGAAAATCGCTCAAAGCAGCTTGACTGTAGGCGTGTCCCACCCATTCCGAGGGCCTGATGACCCCAGGCCGGGCCTGGCAGGAGAGACAGTGGCCTCTGGGCACCCCAAGGTGGGGCCCTTGGGCCCCACGGCCAGCCGCCGTGGGCCCTCCCTCCATGCTGCGCCCGGCACTCCTGGGTCTGGACAGGGAGCGGCGGAGGCCTCACGGGCTCCGGGGGCGCCCACGGTCGCCCGTACCCAGCAGTGCAGCTGTGGGCCCCTGGGCCACCCCGTGGGCGCCTCCCCACCAGCACCCTGGCCTTGTCCAAGGGATTGTACAGAATTTGTAAAGCTCCCTTTTCTCTTGCCGTGCAGAGCTATTGAAAGATGTTTTATGAAATCGTTTGCACTTTGCAATAAAGAATGGTTTTCAGTACGGGCCCTTCCTGTCCACTGGCATCCCCTGCCCCCACGCAGCAGCTGGCCTGGACACCGGGTGGGGTGCTGGGCAGGAGGATGCGTTGGGAAGCCATGTGGCCCAGCTGCGTCCTCCAATCTGACATGTGCTGTGACCCCCGCCCGCCCTGGCTCGGCTGTGGGTGCCGGCTGCCGGGCTGAGGCAGGCGTGTCCTCCTGGGCCAGTTCTGCCCGCTGCAGCTCCTCAGGTGGCCAGTCCTGCCCCCACAGACTCAGCGGGGAGAGCAGCAGCATCCACACCCCGGCCACACACAGGTCATCGTCCTTGCGTGTCTGCAGGACCCGGGCTGTGGCAGCACCACCAGGCCCCTAGGCGGGAGGCGAGGGCAGACCCATGGGCTTAGGGATAGGGTCAGGGTTCTGTGTGGGTCATGGTCGGGCTTCGGGTTAGAGGGTTAGGGGTTGGGGTAGCATTAGGGTTTAGGGTTGGGGGTAGAGGCAGGGCTGGGGTTGGGGTTAGGGGTGCTAGGAGCACGAGTTAAGGTTAGGGTTAGAGGGAGGGGTAGCCGTAGGGGCTAGGGGAGGGTCAGGGGTAGGGGAAGATGGTCACATCATTAGGGTTAGATGATCATAGTGGATTCTGAGTCCTTGATCAGATTTATTTGGAGTCCAAGGTTAATCGGTGACCCAAAAGTAAGGGGATGCGCTCCTTTTTAAAATGAGGAAGTAATAAGTGCCAATAAGAATATTTCAGGAAGAAATTCATCTCCAAGGAAATTCGGGACGGTCATGGTGACTGCTGACTCTTCAGCTGCTGGGACCCAGATGCAGTCAGCCAGAGGGATAGGATGGGCAGCACGGAGCTGGTGAAGTGGCCGCACGGGTCCAAATGCACAAGGGCATCTCCGTTACTTTCAGAATCTGTGTCTCCAGATTCTGCTCCTGGAGACAGGAGTGATGATACCATTTCTTTTTGTTCATTAAATGGAACCCCTTCCGCAAGCAGCGTGTGCTATGGTGCTGTGGAAAACCATCCCATTTTGGACACCAGGCCCTTCATCTCTTTCACCGGATCGTTCCGTTCGAGCAGACTGTCTTGGACCATGAGAAGGGGGATACTGAGAATTTTGTAGGTGCCTACCCGCAATGGATGATGTCACAGGGGAGGGGACCCCATGGTGGACCCCAAGGGAGGGGACTCTTTGCTCAGACGTGTTGGTATGATCCCCCCATTCGGGTCACACCTCGAAGGACCAGTGTCTGAGACAGTCGTCTCCACTAGGCTGAAATGACTGTCCACGGAATTGCATGTTAGAGCCCACCAGATCCTGTAGTGGGTGCCCTGGGACCGAATCAGTCACTCACCCAGACATTCACTACACAGACCAGAGTCTAGAAGACATTCCCAATTCCTGAGCCAACTCTCAAAACCCAGAAAACCAGGAGTGCAGAAAAAGTGGCGCACAAACCCCAGAAAATAGTGCTGCCTCTGGATCAGCATCAGAGGCCTCAGTGGCACCTACATCCCTGAATCTCCTGGAGAGGCCCAGTGCCACCGCTGGAACTCCATCAGAGGCTTCGGATGCAGATCCTCGAGCAGGGAGATCGGTCCTGGGCAACTGTACTCAGCGTTCAAGGCACACCCAGCAGTGCCCAGGGTTGCTCCTGGCTCTGCACTCAGGAATCACTCCCGGCAGTGTGGGGAACCTTGGGTCTGCACCCCCATAAATGACGTCACCAGGGAGGGGACCCCGTGGCCCTCCGTGGGGTGCAAGGGATGGAACCTGGCTTGGCCACGTGCAAGGCAACCCCCCTCCCCATTGTACTGTCTCCTGGCGGTGTGGCCGGATTGGAGCATCGCCTGGGGGTGCGGCCTCTCCACCGAGGAGGGGGGTCGCAGCCACGCCTCCACGTTTGCTGTCACATCGGAAAGCATGCAAGCACAGATCTCAAGAGGGAGAGGCAGGTGACACGTGGGCTCGCTTGTGCACCACCGAAGCGGAGCAGCGCCTGCAGTCCAGCTGGCTTCTGGAGGGTTCCGCGGGCTGCCCCCGCAAGTCTGTTGCTAGGAGTGTTGCCAAGGGCGGGGAGCGGGGGCGGTCAGAGCTCCCTGATGCGGGCCAGGTGTGTTCAGATGTGTCCCTGGAAACCTCCCCCGGAACACGTGGCCAATCAGAGTGGGACTGGGAGGGCTGGGGGGGCGGGCAGCCAGAGCGGATAAAAGACAGCCCCCAGGCCCACTTCTTTTCTCCTCCGGGCTCTTGGACTTTCCCGCTCCCTTGGATTTTCCAGCGCCAGGTAGGGCTCCGCATCCCCAGGGCCTGGCACGGGCAGGCGGCTCGGGGCCAGCTCGGCCCGCTGCAGGCAGGGCGGGCGGAGGTTCGGGTCAGGCCGGACTCCGGCGCCCAGGCAGCGATAAGGAGGGGGGCTCAGGGGGGCACGTGGCCGGGGCTGGGGGCTCGGAGACTCTCGGTGCACTGGTGGGGCGCAGCGACAGGCCGGGAGCACGGGGGTCGCGCGCGGCCGGAGACTGGGGGAAGGGCCCGGGGGACGGACAGCGAGGCGGGGGTGTGACCCGGGGGTCCGGGAGCCCCCCTGCCCACCTCCTTCATTCTCTTGGCAACTTGAGGGGGTAGGTCTGCTCCCACCCCGGACTTCCCCCCGGCGGTGCCTGGGGACCGAGGGGGCGTCCGGCACCCCAACTGGGTCGCCCACGTGCCAGGCTCAGCCACCCCCCTCCCCCCCCCCCCCGCCCCTTCCCCGCTGCTGTTCCATTTCGAAGGACCGACGGGTCTTCAGCAACTTGGGGTGGGGTCGACTGGGCATGGGGGTCTCGCTTGCAAGGGCCTGCCTGGGGGCATAGAGTCCTGGGTGCATCCTGCAGGTGTGGCCTCGGCGGCCTGGGGGCGTGGCCGGCCTCACCTCTGCCGTACTGGGGGCATGGTCTCAGCCGTGCGCCTTCTGAGGGCTTGGCCTCGCCTGGGAGCCCCCCCAGTGGGCGTGGCCCCCATGAGCCTCGTGCGCGTGGCCTCGCCCTTGAGCAGCCTGGGGGCGTGGTTTCACCTGCGCTGTGCTGGGGGCGTGGCCTCGCCCGAGCTCCTCCTGGGGGCGTAGCCCCACCTCTGAGCTGCCAGTGGGCGTGGCCTCACCACGAGCTGCCTTGAGGCGTGGTGCCCCTTGAGCCTCGTGGGGGAGTGGCCCCCGTGAGTGTCCTGCGGGTGTGGCCTGGGGGCGCTGCCTCACCTGTGCTCCTCCTGGGGGCGTTGCCTCACCCGTGCTTATCGGGGGCGTGGCCTCCCCGTGAGCTGCCTACGGGCGCGGTCCCCCCCCAACCCAGCCTCGTGGGGGCGTGGCCGCTGTGAGCCTCGTGTGGGTGTGGCCTCGCTCTTGACCTCCTGGGGCCATGGCCTCGCCTGTGCGGTACGGGGGGCGTGGCCTCACCCGTGCTCCTCCTGGGGGCGTGGCCTCACCTCTGAGCTGCCGGTGGGCGTGGCCTCCCCGGGATCTGCCGGTGGGCGCTCAGGTGGAGTCACTGCACAAATAGCAGATAGCTGCCCCCGGAGGCCCCGCCCCGCGTGGGTCTGTGCAGTGCTTGGGTCGGTGTGTGTGGAGCGTGCCTGGCCCTCGGGGATGGGCGGGTCCCGTCTGGGCCCGCCCCCCAGGGAGACCCGGTCCTCCTCGCCACTGGCAGAAACTGCTCCTGCCTTTAATTGTTTTAAAGAAAGCTTTTTTTTTTTTTAAATATTTACTTTTTGCATTGGGCTGGAGCGATAGCACAGCGGTAGGGTGTTTGCCTTGCACGCAGCCAACATGGCCCACCGAGTTCGATTCCTCCACCCCTCTCGGAAAGCCCGGCAAGCTACCGGGAGTATCTCGTCCGCACGGCAGAGCCTGGCAAGCTCCCCGTGACGTATTCGATATGCCAAACACAGTAACAACAAAATCTCCAATGGAGACGTTACTGGGCCCGCTCGAGCAAATCGAGCATTGGATCACAGCGAGTCATAGTTGTTGATGGTTGGATGCCAGCCCCGAGATCCGAGCATCCCCACCCCCTGTCCCTTCTGCAGCTCACACTTCTCGCCTCCGGCGTCTCCAGCTTCCCTCCCGGGGCCCCGGGTGGCCTCACGTGCCCCAGACATGGGCCTCGCCTGACTCTGCGTGCTTCTTCACTAGGGTCCACTGGGAGCTGTGGACGGGCTCCAGAGGATGAGGCCGGAGCGCCTGGGCTTCCAGGTAGGACTCCTGCTGGCCTCTCACTCCCCTTTGGCCTGGTGACCAGGGTGACCCTGAGACCGCCACTGCCCTTCCCTAGCCTACGGGCCTCAGGGGAGCAGCTCTGAAAGGCCACGGAGCGCAGAAGGGAGCACTCCTCCCCAGACTGCATCCATTCTCAGTGAGGGAGTTCATTCACAGTGGCCACAACTGGAAGGCGTTGCAGGGAGGGTCAGTGGGAAGCAACAGGCTTAGCATGTGGCAGGCCAGGGACTGTAGCATTGCAGATTCGCTC